TTCTTTATAAGATCCAAATTATTACCGATTTGATTTTTGGTTCATACTAAGTTTGAGTGGATTTTAGATTTGTTTAATTTCGGATGGTAAGATAAAATAGAACAATCAGAGTATAACCGTTCCATTTGTTCAATTCCAACCAAATTAAACATTACTCTTGTCAGGAACGTATGGATTAGGTATTTTTTGATTTGTCTTCTACTTATTATCATATATCTTAATCACAATTTGTATCATTTTTATACAATTTCGTCAAATAATTTGATAGTTTTCGTACCCGGAAAATCAGTTATGTAAAGTAGATATTATTATAGAAAGTTTATGAAGTGGTATACAGCCTGGCTTTTGCTATTCTAAAGTCAGACTAAAACATTTTTTTTTAAAAAAACTGTCCTTACCCAAACCTAACCGTTATCGTCTTTATTTCAGATTTTTCTTTTTAAAATTTTCCCAAAATTTAAATTCACCTCAAATTGTGCGAATATTATCATAGCTCTACTAGTTGGGTTTCGTGTATTTGTCTCTTTAACTTCCCATCTTCCCCACGCGCTGAACTAGCGCGTGCCTTCACAGTCACCTAAGATTAACACTCGATTGATCTCCACGCGCAACATGTATGAGTCTGCGAACTGTAAAATAAAATCATTAAGAAAACGACAAAAAGAAACACATCGACGTACTCAGGCTTCGACGCGTGTCCATTTACAGCTGTATCCCAAACTTTCAAAAACCGCTTGCGTGGAAGAAGCGTTGCCCATGACTTCTCCACCGTCTTAACCGGTTCCCGGTTATCACTCTCTTTAACTTCTCCTTGTATAAATAATTTTGTCCTCTCGTTAATTTCTCGAACTTCCTTTGTGCTCTCAACCGAAAATCACTTAATCAAAAATATACAAAAACTCGAAAATCTCTAATCAAATGGCGGATCGGATTAAAGGTCCATGGAGTCCTGAAGAAGACGAGCAACTACGTAGGCTTGTGGTTAAATACGGTCCAAGAAATTGGACGGTTATTAGCAAATCGATTCCCGGTAGATCGGGAAAATCGTGTCGGTTACGTTGGTGTAACCAGCTTTCGCCGCAGGTTGAGCACCGACCGTTTTCGTCGGAGGAAGACGAGACAATCGCACGTGCTCACGCGCAGTTCGGTAATAAATGGGCTACGATTGCTCGTCTTCTCAACGGTCGTACGGACAACGCCGTGAAGAATCACTGGAACTCGACGCTTAAGAGGAAATGCGGTGGTTACGACCATCGTTACGATGTTTCGGCGACGGAGGATCATCATCATCGGCCGATGAAGAGATCGGTTAGCGATGGATCTCCTCCTGTTGTTACTGGGCTTTATATGAGCCCAGGAAGCCCAACTGGATCTGACGTCAGCGATTCGAGTACAATACCGGTTTTACCCTCCGTCGAGCTTTTCAAGCCTGTGCCACGTGCCGGTGCTGTGGTTTTGCCGCCACCGCCGCCGGTGACCCCGACGGCGACTATCGAGACGTCGTCGTCTTCCGATGACCCACCGACTTCGTTGAGCTTGTCGCTTCCTGGTGCTGACGTAAGCGAGGAGTCAAACCGTAGTCACGAGTCAACGAATAACAACAACTCTTCGAGCCGGAAGAACAACAATACGTTGTCGTTTATGCCGTTTTCTGTTGGGTTCCGAGGTGCGATTGAGGATATGGGGAAATCGTTTCCCGTTAACGGCGGTGAGTTTATGGCGGTGGTTCAAGAGATGATTAAGGCGGAGGTTAGGAGTTACATGGCGGAGATGCAGAGAAACAACAATGGTGGTGCATTCGTTGGAGGATTCAGGGAACATGGAATGATTCCGGTGAGTCAAATTGGAGTTGGGAGGATCGAGTAGAGGAGTGAGATTATTAGGACTTGTTTTATAAGAAAACATCAAATCGTCATGGAGAAATTGGAGAAGAAAACAAAATGCTCTGTTTTCTTGTCCTTTGGATTAGGCATAAGAATTTTGGAGTTTTTTAAGAAATGTATAGAGGAAATCGAGTGAACAAGCTCTCGATTCATGGAACCTAGAGACGAAGAAGACGAAGATTAAATTTAAAATATCTCTTAATCTATTAAGAAAATTAAATAAAATTCTCTTTTATGAAACGATAATCGATGAAATTGCAATAAATTTTAATTGATACGAGTATTATTACGTGAAGATAATGATTCATTTAAAAGATAACATTGTCTAGGATTGGACAAGACTTGCATTTGGCAACTAAAGGCAGAGCTTTAGGCATGGTAAGACCCCTTCCTTCCGACATATCAACCTCCACGTCATCCTCCCTCTCCCAATCAAAACATTGGATTAATGAGCCTAAAGCCAAACCCAATACACTTTGTGCCAGGCCCATACCAGGACAAGCTCTTCTACCCAAACCAAAAGGTAGAAACTTACTGTGAAGGGTCTCAGATTCGAACCTCTCCGGTTTGAAAGCCTCTGGTTCATCCCATACCTTCGGATCTCTCTGAATAGCCCACGCATTGACGAATAGCCAAGTGCTACGTGGAACATCATATCCAGCAACCTTACAATCATCAGACGACTCGTGTGGCACCAATAATGGCGCTGCAGGATACAGACGAAGAGTCTCAGAGATCACATTATTGAGATATCTACACGTGTTAACATCATATTCCTCTATCAATCTCCCCTCTCTCGAAACGACGTCGTTTAACTCCATCTGCGTTTTCACTAAAATCTCTGGATGATTTAGAAGGTTAGCCATGGCCCACTCTAACGTCACGGCCGTTGTGTCCGTTCCGGCGAGCAACATCTGCTGCGAAATTCCAACACTCAAATCTTAGTTTACACTTACTAACGATTTGAAATTATAACAATATACGTACCAGTACAAGTCCTTTGATGATATCGTCGGTGTAATACTCTGGTTCAGATTCTTGGAGATATAACAAACGAGTGATCATTGTCTTCTCAAACTCTGTTTTTCCTCTGTTTATCCGATGCTCGTCGACTAATTTCTGCAGAAACTTGTCCAATTTCGAACCGAGTTTCTTCCCTCTCTTAACGTATCCATCGAAATCGAAAAGCTTCAGAATCGGAAGAAAATCACCAACGTAAGTAAACCCTCCGAACTCGAACGCTTCTCTAATCAGCTCTCGAACTTCTCTAGCTTCCTCGTCTTCATCGTTCTCCTCGCCGTAGTAACTTTTTCCGGCGACCATCCTCATAACGATGTTAAACGTGAGCCCAGAAAGCAACGGTCTAAGCTCCAATCCCACAAAGTTATTATTTCCTTCTGATGTTGTTGCCACATGGATCGTCCGAAGCAGAGCTCTCACTTCGTCTCTCCGAATCTCGACCGAGTCTCTGAGACGAGCGGTGGAGAATATCTCGACGGTGCAGAGACGGCGGAGCTTACGCCAGTGCTCGCCGTAAGGAGCTGCGCTAAGCATCGTGTTGTTGTATGCAACGTATTCACCCAACGTACTGGTCGGTCTGTTTGCGAAAACGACATCGTTTTCGCCAGTTAAGAATTCCTCCGCCGCGGAAGCTGACGTCACGACCACAGCTCGACGAGAGCCTAGCCGGAGAGAATACACAGGACCGAGTTTTTGAGAAAGGTCAAGTAGACAACGGTGAACAGGTTCTTTGAGAAGGTGGAGGTGTCCGATCACCGGAAAACCAACCGGACTTGGCGGTAAATTCTTCTCCTTCTGCTCTGATCGGAAAAAATACGCAGCTGCAATTAATCCGGCGATTAAAGCGAGTGAAACAAAGACAAACATCTCCTTGATTCTTGTATCTGATCTTTTTACATACTCCAGCTGATTCTTGTATCTGGTCTTTTTAAAGTATAGCTGATTCTTGCTCTATCGAGGTCCAAATTGGCAATTGACAGACCAAGTCAAAGAGTGTTTCATTTGTTTGTTGTCGGTAATTTCAAAGACATGTTTGTTGACC